AAAAAAAAAAAAAAAATATGGGGGTGGAGATTGAAGCAAAACCTATTCGACTAATTTGATGTGGGGGTTTACAATCCTGTTGGGAGGGGAAATCCTACCCGCAGAGCCTCTTGCTGACTCTACAGGATAGAATTCAAACCTCTAAAAATAGTACATACAAGGCCTTTCCATCACTGGGCCCATCTCCTGTCCTCCCTGTCCCCATGGTGAACTTCACACAATAACAGTATTGAATAACTTGAGATTCCCCCAAACATATCTTGCTGTTTCAGTCTCTGTACCTTCTGTTCCTTTGGCTGGGAGTGACTCCTGTAGTCCCCTTCCCTCCTCCTCTTAATGAACTTCTAATCATAATTCATTCTTCAGTCCTAAGAAAGCTTTGCCGACACTGCAATAAATTCCTACCCCTAGCTGACTGTTCCTCCGCTGTCTTCCATTGCCACTTCTTTATCTTACACTGGTATTTATTTTTCACACAGGACTGTTTGTATTTCTGTGTTCTCAACTACATTAGGAGGTCTTCATGGGCAAGGACCATAGCCTATTCATCCCCAGTGTCTATCACATAATAGATGTTGAACTAGAATGTAAAACAATGCTAAGCAAGTGCAAGTCCGTATGGACGTAGACCTGTGAAGTTCCAAGACTGTATGTTAACAAGTACTTTAAGTAAGCAAGTAGAATACTAGAAACCCTTTTCAAAAATAACAGGCAAAACAGTTTTGGAATTTCTCTCTTGCAAGTATGTTCAAAGAAAGATAACATTGTTTTTCAGTTGTTCACCCACAGTGTTAACCAGTTCAATCATCCTCTTTACTCACCAAAAATAGTGCAAAGTGACTTGGCTACATACACATTTTAAAAACCATCTGTAAAGATAAGTTTTGTCACCATTAAAATATACTCAGAAGAATATAAGACAGTTATCCAGAAGAACAACTCTAGAAGTGACTGTAGCTCTGACAACATTATTAAAATAAATGTGCAGGCCGGGCAGGGCGGCTCATGCCTGTAATCCCAGCACTTTGGGAGACTGAAGCAGGCAGATCACCTGAGGTCAGGAGTTCAAGACCAACCTGGCCAACATGGTGAAACCCCATGTGTACTAAAAACACAAAAAATTAGCTGGGCGTGGTGGCAGGCACCTGTAATCCCAGATAGGAGGCTGAGGCAGGAGAATCGCTTGAACCTGGGAGGTGGAGGTTGCAGTGAGCCGAGATCGCACCACGGCACTCCAGCCTGGGCAACAAGAGTGAAACTCCATCTCAAAAAAACAAAAACAAAAGCAAAACTAAGTGTGCAGTTTCTCAAAGGCTTCTAAAGAAAGCAGCTATTATGTTCACATATAACTTTTGTTGAATTTGTTACAGTGTTAAACTTACTGCATACATTCTGATAAGAAGAACGAGAAGTAAAGAGTAAATATGAATGGAAGTAAGGGAAAGATATGACTGAATATTTTAAAGATACGTTTTGATGTTAGAAAAATATGAATAAGGGCTACCAATTGTTTTAATCAAAACTAAAAGACACACATACATATCTTTCCTAATTTAAACTCACATAAAACTGTCTTCCAAAATAAATGTAAAATTGGGCACTTATTTGTTCTCATGTCTGTCCTCTCAAGCTAAGAAGCTATAAAAACCCTCACAGGCAGAGACTCTCTCTTTTCTGTTTTGCCCGTTTCCATCACAGTAGTGCACATAAGTGCTCAATAATATATGTTTTACATAAATGCTGAATGAGGAACATATAGATGTAAACTGGGGAGCAATGCAAATGTGGAAGAATGTCATGGTGTGTTGGAGGTGCTGAAGAAGAGATTCTGGGGAGCTGTGAAGCATAGGTTGAACTGTGCCATGTATCTCTCCATGTAACCCGGGAACCCAAGGATATGTGATAAGATGTTTGTGGAAGCTGGAATTAAAAGGAAGATTTCTTTTAATAATGCCTTGCATTTATGCAGTGCTTCAGACGTTCCAAAAACACTTTTAAGTGTATTATCTCATTTGATCCTCAAAGCAATCGTGGGAAATAGGCAGCCCAGTCATTATTATTCCCATTTTGCAGATAAAGAAACTGAGATAGAGCTTTAAGTATCTTGCCCAAGGTTAAATAAGTAATTAATGACAGCTGAGACAAAACCCCCACTGTTTCTGTCCTCTTACTCAGTCTCACTCCACTGCACCTTTGTGCAACAGTGTGAAGCACATCCAAGATGATATTTAGTATGGGGACCTCTGCATAGGGGGACACCAGCTTCTTGTCACTTCCATGTTAGTACAGAACAAGCTGACCCACTGTAACTAGGAAATATAAACAAGTGAATATATTCTTTTAATTTAATATATTTTTTGAAAGCCTATTTTCTACAAAACACATATTAGGCTCTGCAGCAATGCAGAAATAAATAAAACCCAGCCCCTGTGCTTTGGAGAGCACAGAGCATTGAGGGAGGCCAGCATACAAATAATATAACTACAACATAGATAAAACACAGGGATACGGGAAAGTAGAGAGTACTGTGATTAACTTTAAGGCCACTTTCATCTCATCCAGTCCCCAGAATGAAAGATAAGAACTGTGGTGGCCTACCCAGCTGGACTGTAAACCATGTGACAACAGGAACTATTTCCTACCCCTTATTCATGTTTGTAAACTCCGCAGTAGTTGGTTCTTTGCCTTGCATAGAGCAAGTGCTCAATAAAGACCTACTTTCTGAAAGGTTCACAGAGTTCAGCCAAACAGAGGATGAGTTCTAGAAGGCAAGAAGTTAACCTCAAGATTCAAACTAGCACTGAGAATTAAGAACCAGCCAGACCTTTCTACTGAGCTGAGCCCCAATCAATTACCTCTGCTCTGATTAAGGGAATAATGTAAGTAATTGTAATATGGGCGATATGGTTTGGCTGTGTCCCCACCTAATGTCTTATTTTGAATTATAATCCCCGTAATCCCATGTGTCAACGGAGAGACCAGGTGGAGGTAATTGAATCATGGTGGTGGTTTCCCCCATGCTGTTCTCATGATAATGAGTGACTTCACGAGATCTGATGGTTTTATGTGTTTGGCAGCTCCCCCT